CCGCGCCGGCCACTGCTTCCCTGCGCGGATCGGTCAGGGTCGCTGCAGACCCTGAGGCCAGGAGGCGCCCCCGAACCCCCCAGCCCCCCGCTCCTTTCGGCCTGCCAACTCGGGAGGTGACCTTCCGAAAGCGGCGCCCGAAGAAAGACGCCGGGTCTGACCACGGGCTCCGCTTCTGAGCCCGCAGGTTGTGGTCCCCCCAGCCAAGGGGAACTGTGGGCGAGAAAATTCGACGAGTCTTTAAGTGACTTAAGCCTCAGTTTGCCCCCTGATAAATTAAGAGGCGGGGTCATCATCTGTTACACCCCTGCTAATGCAAAGTGATATAAATACATTACCTCTTATCTGTAAAGTAGATCGATCATTTTCATTTAATTGGTGAAGAAATGGGAATTCGAGAGATTAAGTGACTTAAACGACTTGCCTGAGGCCACACAACTAGATGGCAGAGTGTCCTGGCGGCACACCCTGGGTTCTGTCCTCTGTATTGCAGGGACTGATTTTCAGAGCGATAGGATCCCCAGAGAACGTGGTGAAAGCTATGGACACTCCACCACCCCACCCCCTGGCCACGCCCCTGCCCACGTTTGCACACAGGTAAGTTTTTATACCATCTTAATAAAGAGTTCATTGATTGTTTGCCTTCCACGTGGCCTTTCAGTTCCTACCTCTGGGGAATGCATTGAAGATTAAATGTAATGGGAAACAATGCTATAGAAGTTACATTATTCTATTAACATGTGTTCCAGTGGGCATGGCAAGGATATGTTTAGGGACACCCAGCTCACCTCTGCTTCCGGGATGCCTACAATAACGGTGTTGGATGAATTCCTTCGGTTTAAGGTTGATATGGTCTCAACTCAAATGCCTACAGACATTGGGCAGGCACTGGGAAGCAAAGGAGTGAGGCAATAGGCAACTGTGACTGTGGCTAAGGACCTTTGCTCTTCAAAAGGGGTAGCCAGTTAGCTCCGGTTGACTGTGGTCCTGGGGGAATTAGAGCCATGGTGTGCTGTATCATTTTCCAAGAGAAGGCTGAAATTCAAATGTTGATATGAAATAGCCTTCCTTTCCCCCTGTCCTATACTACTACTTTGTCATGTAGTTATAGATATTTTACATATGGATCAACACTCATTAACAATTAATTGTAAGTTTAACTAAGTTGCTCATCATTATATTTTGCTTTCTTGATTTTTTTTTTTAATGTGGCTGGAATATATGCTCTATTCAGTTTTTTTCAGAATGAGTCTCTGGCCTGGTTGATATATTTTGAGTACTCTGTATTTTGAAGATGGCTTTGTTTTTCTTTCAGATTTGAATGCTGGCTTTATTGTATAGAATTCATAGTTCAAATAATACTTTTTAAAGTAGTGTTAAGCATTCTTTACAAAGTGGAAGGGAGAGGAATAGAGAGTTAGAAACATTGATGAGAGAGAAACATCGATCAGCTGCCTCCTGCGCACCCCCTACTGGGGATGTGCCTGCAACCAAGGTACATGCCCTTGACCGAATAGAACCTGGGACTCTTCAGTCCGCAGGCCGACACTCTAGCCACTGAGCCAAACTGGTCAGGGCTCTTTGTTGTTATTTTAAGTTTCCAAGTTTTATTTTCATAGTACCATCACCCCTCTTGAAGAAATGGATACCACACTGTCTCAAAAAATTGGTTCCTCCATTAAGTTTAGTTCTTCAAGTGCTAATTCTTGGTTGTTGACTTGAGTTCTTTGCCTTCATGGTACTGCTTTTCTTCACATTAGTGTTCATATTTACTGTTGAGAACCACATTTTGTCTATCTGCGAAGTTAGATCTTGAAAACCTGTTTTTGCTGTTGTGAAGAAAGGGTAGTCATGTGGCTGCACAGGTATGTTGGTAGCTTTTTGTCTAGGTGAGGAGGCACGTGTCCCTCCTGAGTTTCATTTCAGAGTCTTGTTTAGGACTGGATTCTGGGAGGAAATGTCAGAATAAACTCCATATTCTGTTTCCTTTGTGATGATCAGGATTTCCCGTAGGATCTTCTCTGCTTTATCACCAGCTCCAGATTCCATTTGGGAATCTCCCAAGGCAAATTGTAGGCTGGAAAATTGTTATTATGGATATCAGCTTATTAACAATGACATGCCTAGCTATCCAGCCATTCCAAATGCTGTTGCTTAATTAATAATTTTTTAAACTACTATAATTAATAGCACTGTTACTTCTAGGAAAAAATAAAGTAAAATACTTAGGAATAAATTTAACCAAGGATGTAAAATACCTGTACTTGGAAAATTATAAGATACTGAAGAAAGAAATTGAAGAAGATACAAATAAGTGGAAGCATATGCATGTTCATTGGTAGGAAGAATTAATATAATTAAAATGTTCATACAACCAAAGCAATCTATGGATTCAATGCAATTACTATCAAGATGCCAATAGCACATTTCACAGAACTACAACAAATATTCCAAAAATTTATATGAAACCACAAAAGACTGTGAATAGCTACAGTAATCTTGAGAAAGAAGAACAAAATTGGAGGAATAATGCTACCTGCCAATGACATAGTAGTCAAAACAGCATGCTACTGGCATAAAACAAACATATAGATCAATGAACAGAATAGAGAGCCCAGGAATAAACCCACACTATTATGGGTGTATTTGGCAAAGGAGGCAAGAACATACAATGTGGTAAAGATAATCTATGCGAAAAATGGTGTTTGGAAAATTGGACAGATACACGTAAAAAAATTAAACTGGACCACCTTCTTACACCATACACAAGAGTAAACTCAAAATGGATTAAAGACTTAAATGTTAGACTCGAAACCATGAAAATCCTAGAAGAAAACATTGGCAGCAAAATCTCAGAC